ATTTACTGTTGAGTGGAGTTATTCATTGATGAAAACGCATGATAGGGGACAGGATAGTGAACATTGGTATCAGCTGGATGTAAAATTCACCTGCTGGCAACTAGCAACACAGAGAATTGTGTTGCTAGTTGCCAACAATAATCTGACAGTGTAGTGGTCAAAGCGTGTTTCTGCTGCCCCCAAGTGGCCAAAAAAGTTAAAGCAGCTACAGTGTTTGTGGTTGGCTTGGTCCTGGTCTAACTATGAACATTTCTCTGCATTGAATTTTTTGCTTGTGAATGAGACCTCATCATTTCTTCCGACCCCACGACACAGCAGGCCTCTGCAGTGGCTTACTGAACTGTTACTTGCTAGTGCAACCCCCCCCCCATAAACCCCACCAACCCCCTCCCAGCCTTTCTCACCCCATCGTTTATTAAGAGACTGAATGTAAGTGAGAGATTATGTATGAAGCAAGTTCTACGCCACTGGATCATACAAGTTTCTTCTTTGTTAACAGCTTGTCGTTTTATAATTGTGTTAATAGTGCATGCTATTTCATTTTACAAGAGCCACAATGTGGTGTTACATTTCCGATCTGCTGTACAGCGTGGTGTGTGAACTGGGATTATGGGAAAGGCCATTTTCATGTTATTCCATGGCTACAGGGCAGCCAGATCTAATATTTTCAACACTGTCAAAAGCAGATGGATGACTATATGTAAGTTTGAGAATGATGTTGTACTTTTGTGGGATTTGTATTAGGCTGCCGTGTACCACAGACCAGCATGCATTGATTCTTCCTTAAATCCAGGGATTACTACGCTTTGGAATTATTACATAATTATGTTAAAGACATAATTTTCAGTAACAGTAGCCCAGGTCATCTTTTGGGGATCTCATATGACACACGTGTAGGAGTCTGTGTATTTTAAACCTTTACAGCAAGAGAGCTTGAGCGACATTAAGGTCATCTGATCAAAAATCACTTTATGTTGAAAGATGAAGATGTATTTTCTTGTAAATAAAACGATACAATGCAACCTCAGAAAAATGAACTTGCTTCTTTTTCAGCTTTTAAGTAAATGCTTGAGTTTAGCCCAGCTTTCAACGCTGTTAAATAAACGATGATATTTGTACCACATGATGAGCTTTAATAGTTCTTTAAATTTAGCACAGGTCAGAGAATCATATAGGCTGGGCAATACTGGTCTTTTTGGAATTATGACAATGTGTCAGGAGCAGTGTTGGTCAAGTTACTTGAAAAAAGTAATCAGTAACTAATTACTGATTACTTCCCCCAAAAAGTAATCCCGTTACTTTACTGATTACTTATTTTCAAAAGTAATTAATTACTTAGTTACTTAGTTACTTTTTA